TCAGGAGGCTGAGGCAGGAGGAGTGCTCAGAGTCCAAGGTGAGGTTGCCCACAGACTGAGTGCAGCGTTACCCTGGAAGTTATTGAAAGTCTCTAGCTCAAGAAAAAATAATAACGCCAGAGATATGGATTCAATAACTGAAATCACAATTAAAAGAAAAATATATAAATCATGATTGAGGGATTAAGTAAGCACAAAGTCCTTTTTAACCATATCTAGTCATTTTGTTCACTAACATTCCTATTTTCATCATGTAAAGGCCCTTAATTTTTAAATATGGAGGAAGAAGACATGTTGGAAATGTGAGATGAATGACACTGCTTTTAGTAGATTATACACTCGGTGGGATTGCCCTGAACGTGGTTCAACGTGGGCAGCATCTCAGCTCAAGAAATCAAATCGCAGAATCGCAGCATAAACATTGCAATAAAGCGCTACCTCAACCTAGTTGCTGCCTTTTTGCTACAAATAGAAGATTTGTCTCTCTCTCCCGTAGAGACGAAGCACCGATTGCATATCCTTAGATTGCTGTTCATGCGACCTCAGAAAAGCGCAGAAATATCCTGGCTCTGTTCACTTTTACTCTGTGTGTCACGTGGATGAGTTACGTCCCATGGTTTAAATCAGGGGCTGCCCTGTATTCTACTGTGAAACATGGATAGGGAGGGGAATTCCTGGGTGGTGATGATGTTTTCAGTTAGTATTTCTCAGTGATGTTTGAAGTTCTCTGGGCCCGGAGAAGCGCCGAGGAAGTCTCTCCTGCTCCCCTCAGCATGTGCTGGGCGAGTTTCATGAAAGCCCCCAAGTCTCCACGGGGCTTTTCCCACTTGTTTGTTACTTTCCTTGAGTTCTCCTGATATGGTCTCATGGGGGAAAGTATAGGGGTGTCATCAAAACAAATTTTAACTCTGAGAGATGATGTAAGCCTAATGAACTGAATGAATTAAGCGCCCCTCCTTCTTCAGAAAAAAAAAAAATCACATATAGGATAGGAAGCCTTAAATCATTTCTATCCAATCAGAAAGGCAGAGAGATTTCAGGGAAAGAAATTTGCTTCTTCTTTCAAGGTGAGTGAGAAATACCAGGGCTATTTTTATTATCTGTTTGTCTTCTCCGAGGCGGGCCTCACTGTGTAGGTCAGTCTGGCCATGAGCTCACTGTGTAGCCCGGGCTGGCCTCAGCCTTGCACTGATCTGCCGGCCTGCCTCAGCCTCCTGGCGAGGGCTTGGGTCGCAGCTGTGCACCCCCACGCCCTGCTGAACTGGCGCGAATTTCAGGCTCTCCTGCGTCCGATATGTCCCCCGTGACTTTTGGATTTTGACTGTAGACACGCACAGTCAATGCCAGCTGACTCTCTAAATATGTTACGAAAATCTCTATCTCTTCTTGAACTGCTGTCTCTTGGAAAAGGCTGCATATTAAGCCTAAAAATTGATTAACTGAAACATTATCCTTGAACAACATGACAGGTGAGATTTTAAAATGGCATTTAGCGAATGCAAGTCTCAAGCATGTCAGAAAACGTCTAATGTGCATTACTGAACTCAGCACTTAGAATCCGTTAGGATTCAGGTTCCCAGATGAAGTATAAACTCTCAGTTTCATTAAATTTTTAGATACATACATTTACATTTCATTCTTTGTTTTATAATTAAAGTATCAATTTAATATAAATAAAAACTTAACTGCATGTTGCAACAATAATTTAAGGTAAGACATCCATAGAAATATTTCGTGAACTGCAAATGATTATTCTTTAGAATGGCAAATGCCAAAACATGCAGATATTTTAGTCTTTCATTTGTTTTCTTACAAAGTGGTTTCTGGCACTGAAAGTGGTTTTTTCACTTTTATTTCTTTATTTATTTGATGCTGGGTCTCACTACACAGCTCAGACACATAGTGACCCTCCTGTCTGAGCCTCCCCAGAACTGGGATTACAGGCATGCACCAACATGCCCAGTTTCAGTGGCCTGCACGGCACGCCTGGGGTTCTGGGGCTGGTACGGCCTTGCTGGAGCCTCATGTGGTGGCAGGCATCGAACCAGGGTCCTTGTGCTTGCCAAGCAGGCACTTAGTCCGCCGAGCTATCTCTTCAGCTTGAACACAATGTTGTATACTGGATAATGCAAACTTGATTACATAGAAATAAATAGAAGACTTTAAAAAGTTATGAGGTAGTGAAGAAATCCCTGAAGCCCAAATAATTCTTAACATGAGCATATATATGTGGGTATATATAAAGACAGACACTCAGTCTCTCTGAAGGCATTTAGACTCTCTCTGCTCTAATAAAACAAAATGCAGGTGCTTACCTGTGTACACTGATACATTCCCAAGACCTCAGAGGTATTGTCTTTGATTCAAACAAGCTGGGTTGGATGAAAGAATGTATATATTCAGAGGGATTAAAAAATACACATTAAGGGATATAGCTCAGTAGAATAAGCACTTGCCTGGCAAGCACAAGGTCGTGAGTTCAATCCCCAGTTCCACCAAAATAAATAAAAAAAGAAATAATGAATAATAAATATACACTAAAATTGAGTTACACTTAAAAACAACTGCAAAATTCATTGAAATAATTTATATTGATAAGTTTCCTGCTGGATTTTTGGGTCTTTTTACACAGTTAAAAGCATCGCCTATAGTCAAAAGCTAACATGGCAAATCCAACTTCCAAATTCAACATTAAAATTTGAGAAGGAAATAGACCAGGGTGCATGTGTGAGGGGGAGGGATCTGACAGGAGTGAGTCTCAGATGACAAGAGCTCAAAGCTGCCAGGCGACCTCCAGGCTCGCCCTGCGCCCAGCTGCGTTGCCCGACTCAGAATCGCCAGTGGGCACCGCTGTGCAAGCACTCCTGGAACTCCTGCCACTGCCTGCTCCAGGGGGCTGGCGACTTGGTGCTGGGCGCCAAGAAGCGGATCCGTGGAGTCTGTGCAGGTGGACAACCGTGTCCCAGTAAACAACTTCCCCCACTGAGTTCAAGTAATAGAGCAGTTTGATATCCCACTTCTTCTCCATGGGAAAATGATCTTGACCCAGTTCCAGGGCTTCACTGAGCTGATTTTGAAAATGAAGGTTGTGAGCTCAAGAGCAAAAGCTGACGGAGCAGGTCCCCGCGTTGCAGCAGTTCTGCTTTCTTGTACTTCTCACTTTAATTTTATTACATGAAGGGTAGCACATATTTTTGTAATATTTGGGTAGTACAATATTATATTCTACTACATGATAAAATTGAAGAAATAATTTAAGTGCTCTTACATCTGCTATGAAAATGCTCAAATAAAAAATTTAAGTGAAGTATGAATTGTACTAATTTACTATTATGATATTCTGAAATAAATAATATAAAATTAAATACTAAAAATTACATGTATGTCAGCATAAGGTATATTTTAGCAGGAGCAGACCAGCATGCTGTGTGTCTCAACACGCTGCCGATCACTAAACACAATACCATTAATCAAATCTTGGCTAACTGGACTCAACACATGTTTTTAAATGTCGGTGTATCACAACTTCATTTAAAACATGAAGGAGTAGAACTCAGAGTACATAAAGAAACAGAGCTTAACTGACTGTAGTCTACGCATATTTTTGGAATTTTAACAAAGATATGTTGCTTTGTGAATTTGTTGATAATGCTCCCTATGACTTTTAAGAATAGTAAGTCCCCTCTACAATTGGAGATCAGAGTGACAGTAGAAGGCATGACTGAACAGCACAACACATTTAAATAATATTTTCTTTAAAATAAAAGGTAAATGGACATTAATTCTCACAACTCTTCAATCTGGGTGATGCCACTGTGATTTATCCCAAAACTCTTCTCTTCACACAACTATCCTGTTTTTCTTTCCACTGTCTGAAGCAGATCTAGAAATCTTGTTTTGTGATTATCTTGGCATCATTGTGGCTGCCTTGATATCTTGAATAGACTCAAAACATTTACTTTTCATCAACAATTTAACCTTGGTCCCAAGTTCCGCAAAAATAATAATAATAATAATAATAACCTTGGAATAGAGTCTGATGTTGGAGGGCACAGATGCAGGGGGATTTCAACTACATTTTTTAATAAGACTGACATTCGACTGGATGGCCCGAGGCCACAGGATTTACTAGTATTGACAACAAGTCCTTGACACCCTCAGAAAACGCTTCTAGAACTGCTACTGAAAGTGAAAAAAATATTGGGTTGTGTGAGTAAAGTAACAGGGAAGGTTTTGAGGCTGATTTACGCCAGTATGCCTTACTGTAATAAGTATGCTTCTTTTCAACATGTGCTGTAATTTTCCAAAGCCCTAGTATGTAAAGAAAGAAAATGTGATTCAATTGTATAGAAGAAACGAAGCTTAATATTTTATATTAACATACATATGATTGGCTAACAATATCTGCACTACAAATAGCGTTGACTTTTAAGATTTTAATCTATGTCATAACAGGGTATGTATTTCTCATAGATAGCTCATTTGGAGAAACAGAAAATTCCATTCTTTTTTTAACTTTTACAATGAGAACCAAAAATTGGAATTAAATTGCTTTCTAGAATAAATATCTCATTTCTGTGCGTGGCCATTATAATTTGGTCAAAAATTCTAAGAAAGGCGTAAAATTTCCCTTGTTCTTTCCTAGAAGAGAAACCGGGACCTCATGGGCCAACAGAATAAAACATCAACTAGCTTCATTCTGGGCATGGTGTCCAGCCTACCTCAGCTGCAGATCCCCTTTTTTTGGGTCTTCCTCATCATCTACTCTGTCACACTGGCGGGCAACCTGGGCATGATCATCCTGACCAAGCTGGATGCCTGCTTATGCACACCAATGTATTTTTTCATCAGACACCTGGCTTACATTGATCTGGGTGATGCCACTGTGATTTATCCCAAAATGTTGGTAAATTTTGTTATAGGTCAAAATACCATTTCTTATCATGCTTGTGCCACCCAGATGACCTTCTTCATTTTGTTCATCATCAGTGAACTTTTCATCCTGTCAGCCATGGCCTACGACCGCTACGTGGCCATCTGCGACCCTCTGCTCTACAACGTCATCATGTCCCAGACGCGCTGCCGTGTGCTGGTGGGCATTCCATACCTCTACAGCACCTTTCAGGCTGTGTTGATCACTATTAAGATTTTTACACGGCCTTTCTGTAGCTCTCACGTCACTCATTTCTACTGTGATGATGTTCCTGTCCTACTTCTGTTATGTTCAAATGCACAAGATATAGAACTGCTGATCATCCTGTTGTCAGCATTCAATTTGATATCCTCTCTCCTGGTCATTCTTTTGTCCTACATGCTGATTCTCTTAGCCATATGTCGGATGCGTTCTGCAGAAGGGAGGAAGAAGGCTTTCTCCACATGTGGCTCCCATCTGACGGTGGTGGCCATCTTCTATGGGACACTTCTCTTCATGTATGTGCAGCCCAAGTCCTCTCATTCCTTCGAAACTGATAAACTAACATCTGTGTTTTACACTCTAGTGATCCCTATGCTGAACCCTCTAATCTATAGCTTTAGAAATAAAGAAGTAAAAAATGCCTTCCACCGGGTTTTTGGGAATCTGTCTAAAATTACTTTAATGTTTCATTTAGTATTCTAGTCTAATAAACTAGGATAAAGGCAATGTTATTCAATAGCACCGCAAGTTGATATGAATATATTTATTGGCTATACAGAAAAATCTCATTATAACACATAGAAAACCAAATCCTGAGGGGATTTCACTGACCTTATCAGACCCAAAAGCTACAACTCTTGTTGCATAGGTCCTGCTTTACCTTGGTCTTAACCATCCAGCAGGAAAGTATAAAAACGAAATATAAGGAGTAAAGCCATGCTGTTATGTCGAGCTATAGGGAACTCAGGTAAACAATCTCTGACATTGCCAGTCAAGCGGAAGACCCAATACAATTATGTGCTACTGGACTCTTTTAGAATATTTTTCAGAGTTTACATACCTATAATATTCAAATACTGGAATTTAACAAAAAAAGGGTATACAGATGAATGTCCATTATGTATCTGTGCATTCAAAGTGGTTAGGATATATATATATATATATATATATATATATATATATATATATATATATAGTTACATTCTCTTAATGAATAGAGTGATTTGTTCTAATGGTGTTTGTAAATAGGATATCATGTCCACATCTTGTACAGCAATTAACTACTAGGAAGAATGTATTCAATGTGTTAATTATTAAAACTGTCCTACCAATTTGATTTGAAACTGTCTCATTGCTATTTGTTTATGAATAAAATTATGGGAAAAAAGAAAAACTAGATTAGTTTTTATATATTCATCCCAATTTATCCAACAAAATTTAAATATCAATTAAGTATCACTTCTCCAGCAATCCCTGGTTTTTATACAATGTTACTTCTTATGGAAACTATTATTATTTCAATGAAAGCGCTGTTACATTCTACATCAGTAAATTCTGTGGGGGTTTTTGCATTGGTTGTTTTAGTTTGGGTTTTGAAAGCTTTATTCTTAGTATTGTTTTTACTGTATACATTGAATCTAAAACTACAATACAAAAAGTAAATCTTTTGCAGAAAGAATGTATAAACATTGTGTCTGGATTTTTTTTTCAGGCCAACATTTGAGATCTTGAAAGTCAGCATGTAAAACATTTTAGTTCAAGTTCTAGGCATCTAGTAGAAATCTTTAGGGTCTGAGCTACGTAAGGCACTTTGGAGAAATAAATCTGAAGTTGCACAAACTTTTTAAAAAATATTCATCACTTCAAAATAATGAATCAAAAATATAATGTGCACATTATCATAAAATGCAGTGACAATCCCACACTCTACAGAAATTAAAAAGTGGCAAATTTAAACTCCATGCAAGTAGAATCTGAAATGATACTGATGTTCGAATAAGCAGGCCAGAACTAGAAGATTCGATTGTGATATTGAGAGATTTAACAAGAATCTGATTTTTGTGAGAATAAAGAAGAAAACATTTTTTTAGGGTGTAAATTTTTTTTAACCTTTTCATTAATTTTATTGAGAAACAAATAGCAATGAGACAGTTTCAAAACCGATTAATAGGACAGTTTTAATCATTGATACATTGCATGTTGCTGTCTTCATAAAGGTTATTCATAGTACAAGATGCAGACAGGACATCCTGTCCAAACATTATTAGTGCAAATCTTTCTTCTCATTGAGTTAAGAGCAAGTAGTTGTGCATTTATCCTAACTATTTTGTATATGCAGATATAAAATGATCCTTCATTTGTATCTCCTGTTTTTGTTTAGTTTTGTCAGAGAAGGGTATTCCATTGCCATTTAAATATTGTTCATGCATGAATTCAGCAAAATAATTCAATATAGTCCAGTAATCTATAATAATAGTGGGTTATCCTTAGGACTGGCAATGTCAGAAGTTGTTGACTTGAGCCTTTTACAGCTCATCATATTAATATGGCTTTACTTTTTATATTTTGTTTTCATACTTTTCTGCTGGATAGTGAAGACCAAGACAAAGCAAGACCAAGATAAAGCAAGACCCATATAACAAGAAATGTAACTTTTGTATCTGACATCATTCAAATCCCCTCAGGATTTACCCTGAAACCCTGTACCACAGTTTGTAGATGCTTTGTCAGTGTCAGCCATATGGATGAATCATGTCCATTGCTTGGTAATCTAAAAAATATTTATTAAATGAGGGAAACATCACACAATACAGGGAAAAAGCAAATATGACATCTTCAACAATACACTAAGATCCCCCCAAAATGAAAACTGACAAAACAACACACTATGCAGAAATTACCAAAATAGGACCACAGATATGGCTCCGCAGCACATGACTGCCTGACAAGTGCTTGGCTCCGAGACTTCGATTCCCTATTCAAAAGAAAAAAAGAAGTTAACAAAATAATCTGTTAGTGGTAGAATTAAAATAAATGCTTAACCTATGTTTAAGTGTGCATTCAGTTGGGAAGAGAGATTTCATAGGACAAAAAAAAAAAGCTGAAGAACTGTTAGCCAGAATTTCTTTTAAAAATTGTTTTTAAAAATAATACCAGATCTAGAGCACCTACTTAGAACAAGCTTAGCAAAAGCATCAGGGACCGCGGTTCAAT